AAATGATTGCTTATCTATCCATTTAAGAAAATTTTTCCGTGGACCTAAAGTCTATGTTCATTAGATAGACTTTATTGCATTAATAGTATTAAAGAAGTGAGTCTTTTTATTAAAGAGAAAATTTAATTGTAAGCACATGAAAAATATAAGAACGGCCACATTTAAATTTGGACATTGGAAACATGTAAGCATAACTCCCCCATTTAACATATAAAAACTCATAATTTTAAAATTGTTTTATTTAAACATTGGTATAGAAATTGTCCAGATCTGGACGCCATAGCTGTTTCGGCCATTGCTCTTTCGCCACGTGTCAGTCTTGGAAGGTAAACCACCTCAAGCGTCCAAGTTGAAGCATCTAGCCTGCAAAGCGTCCAAGGGTTGGACGCTTCAGATCCATTTCTTTGGGCTTCGCGACTTTGTTCAAATTTGGGCCTGGTTTTATTTCCAAATGTCCCCAAACACTATTTTCGCCTCTCCCAAGATTCTCTTGATCATAATTCTCATCTTAAAGCTTCTTTTTCTCATAAATATGAATAAAAAATGAAAATCTAAACTAATTTAATTTAGAACCAATTATTATTCCCTTTAGAAGAAATCAACAGATATTGTTCGTATTAACATGTAATTATGTACTTATTTATTATTATTTTCGTGCAACAACGTTTAAAATATGTAGAATAAAATAAGAACAAAATGGACTTATCAGAAGCCACCTACAAAGTATAATTATTTTCAGAGTATTAATCACGAGACCGTGAGAAGGAGAGGAGTGCTGATCTGACTGACGCCGGGTCTTGACACCACTATTGTGTGCGGCTGATTCTCGCCGTCTCAATTACTGGAAATAGACCATTGCCGTCGCCTAGCCACCGATGTTTGACGTTGGGTGTACCATTTTCTCCATTTGTTTGATTCATTTAGTTTGCATTATCGAGGTAAGTTTGCAGATTTGTTCAAGCATAGAATTCATAGATAGCATCGATTTAGGTATATAGCCAATCATAGATTTGTTTATGTGAATTGTGTGATTTTGAATTATGGTGTTAGACAAAACTCCAGTCATTGATTTGTTAAAGTATGAATTAGGTATTAGTTAATGGTTAGACATGTTATAGTTTGCCTATGAATGTACGTTGTATGATGTTAATGTATGCGGGGAATTATGCTTTCACATTGTTTTGTTGAATTATTCATTAAAGACCTTTGTAAATTTTACTAATTTGTGAAATTATTTTTCTGGCAAAGTGACTAGAGTTCTCGCGAGAATCATCTAGCTTCTCTCTAGAGTCATATCCTGTTTTGATCATGTGTGTGTGTGTGTGTATATATATATATATATGTATGTATGTATGTATGTATGTATGTATGTATGTATGTATAGACACACACACATACATACACACACAGAGAGAGAGAGCAAGAGAGAGAGACATATATATAGGGATCAACTCAAGTCAGATGACACCTTATGGTTAGATGACATGATTTGGTCATATGATAATAATAAACAAAAACTAATCAGAATGCTTACCATATGATGGGAACCGCTTTTTCGGGGCGTGGGCCCGACGAACTCGGTACCGGGTTGGCACCGCACCGAATAGCGAAATCCGAAAAATAAATAAATAAATAAATAGAGTGGAGAGAAAGTATTAATACGTGGAAACCCAAATCGGGAGAAAACCACGAGCCTTTTTAGGCGGTGCCATGCCAAGGGAAGGAACTTTTATTAATCTCGGAAGAATTTACATATACATCATTGTAGGAGTTTGGAGCCATTAATGGAGCTCCAAGCTTAAAGAAGAAGAATAATAGGAGCTTTCTTTATGTAGAAAAATAGTTATAGGAACTTAGGAATTTGGCCTCCCCTTTCTCCTCTACGTAGCTCCACATTTAAAGGGGGAGAAAGGATGAGTTAGTGGAGACAAGAGATCATGCCTAGGTCCCACCAAATATATCCTTGGAACCCTAAGCAATCTCATCAAATTATCTTCTTCGTCTTCATATCTCTGGCTCCGTCTTGAATAATTTATCTGATTTATATCTTGGGCCAGATAAAATTTAGCTTTCTTGTATTGTTCAAATAATATTGGATTAGGTAAAATCCCTAACCCATTACATGCCCCCTAGTTTTGAGTCTTTCTCGGAGAACGAGACAGATTCAAAACTATACGCCTCGGTGGGTTACCTCGTGGAATAGAATTTTCCTCAGTGCCTCCGGAAGAGTACTTTTCTCGGGGATTTGTGCTTCTTGAAAGAAGACTTTTCTCATGGATTTGAGACTCTTGGAAGAGGATTTTCTCGGGGCTTAGTGCCTCTTGGAAGAGGACTTTCTCGGGGCATATTGTCTCTTGGAAGAGGACTTTCTCGGGGCTTAGTGCCTCTTTGAAAGAGGACTTTCTCCGGACTTTGTGCCTCTTTGGAAGAGGACTTTCTTGGGACTTTGTACCTCTTTAGAAGAGGACCTTTCTTTTTTTTAGTGCCTCGAGGACTTAGTGCCTCTTGGAAGAGGACTTTTCTCGGAGATTTGGGCCTCTTAGAAGAGGACTTTCTTGGGATTTTGTGCCTCTTTGGAAGAGGACTTGGTGCTTCGGGGAAGAGGACTTTTCTCGGAGCTCAGTGCCTCTTGGAAGAGAGCTTTTCTCGAGCTCTTTTTTCAATATTCTTTGGGAGCCTCTAAACTGCCACCTGATATCTATCTCACGGTGGTTGGGCGCTCCGCTCTTATTGAATAAAAGGCAATCCCCGCCCACCTCTCTCTCTAACTCTTTTCTCAATCTTGGTACGAGAGTCTATGACTATCTCCAGCAATCCGATCACCTAACTTGACTGAATTACTGACCTTTGCTTTCTATTCTTTTACACTATTACTTTTCTCAACTTGTACAACTCGGAATGGACCACTTGAGGTCGGCGACATCCCTTCGAGGGTCCTATGAAGCCGGAATGGATTACGTGAGGCTAGATTCGTCCCTTTGAAGGACTAATGAAGCCGAAACAGAACACTTACGGTCGGCGCCGTCCATTTGAGGGACCTATGAAGCTAGAGCGGTCCTCTTGAGGCTAGATCCGTCCACTAGATGGATACATTTATAGGCTCCAAATCTAGAGAATCCTAACCATACAAGGTAACTTAATAAACCATAATACTAATAATCTAATATAATTATACTTTCTAATAATAATATAATTATCTAACCATAAATAATAATAATAGTAATATAATAAGAATGGTAAATAACTAAATATAGTCTTGTATCACATAATACATTCCTTCTTGAACTATCCCTCTCCATCTTTACCTATAATATCCATCATAAAATAAATATTGTAATTTTTTTTGCTCTAAAAACTTTGAATATCACAAGCTTTTAGATCTTTTTTAAACATAAATATATGTTAATCCAAAATAGCATTACAGTTTTCTCTATTATTCACTACGAACTTTAATTTGTGTACAATACAATTTTGTACGATAATCCAATAACATTTTTTCATGAAACGACACAACAAATTTTTTTCATACTTCTTTTCTATTTGTTTGAACTATTCACTAAAAAAGTTTGAATTACAAAATCTTTTCAAGAATGACAATGTAAATGATATTTTCGATAATCTATTTTTTCCGTCGTCTAAATGATGCAACAAAAAGTGTGTAAATGGCACATCAATTACTATTTTAAAATGACTACAACTTTATCCGATAAGTCATCACAATTTTGTTCTACCACTAGATTCTAACCCGTCCGATGCACGGTGAAAAATTTATTTTATGGAGAAACGATATGACACATAAAAACAATGCATAGTTACAAATACGACAATTAGTTAACTATCCAATGTATACTAAAATTTGTTATAATGTAGCATATGTAGCAATAAATATTGGACGATATCACTTAAGTACATATATAATCATAAATTCTGGAAAACTTCTTTATACACAACATTCATCGTATGATCCTGAAGATTATTTTCTTCGTCGCAACTCAAGATCTTCAATCCTCGTTGGTTTGTGACACGTGAAAAAGCCATATAAAGTTGACCATGAGTAACGACTGGTTTTTTAAGTAGTACACCAACATGTGAGAGAGATTGTCTCTGACTTTTGTTAATAGTCATTGCATATGAAGTCATGCCTCCGTACATGAGTATTTCTTTAATATTGATTTTTTGGTCAAAATTGTTAAATTTTGATATTAAATTTTTAAAAAAACGATATTAAATATTGATACGAAAATAGTTTTTTTGATTTATTATATCCCAAATTTTCAAAATATTATAATATCTAAATGATATACTATATATATGTTATTTAATTATAGATAAAAAAATTGAAAATAATTGAATGAAAAAAGTTAAAAGTGAGCAAATACTAAAACACATGTGTAGTATTGATTTCTACCCAGCTTGAAGTAATATTAATTTCTTCGTCATCTTTTTAGTTACATATAAATATTTACACTACCAAATTTTAATATATTTATTTACTAATTTTGATTTTTTTACAACTCTTTTTTAATCTAATATAAAAGTAACTAAATTTAAAATTTAATATTAATTTCTACCTACTTCAAAAATAAAATATAAAAAAACTAAGAGGCCTGGTCTAAATGAACGAAAGCCCACAAATTATCAGCCCGGCCCAAAGAATCAGCCCACCCCCTATATGCATCCCTAATCCCTTCTTCCCTTCTCATTTCCGCCGTTTCTTCTCACTCTCTATCTCTCTCTCCCCCCCCCCCTCTCTCTCCCCCGCTCTCTCTATTACACCAAAACTTCAAATAATAATTTTGTTTCGTTTTTTCCATTACAATGGCATTCAGCTCCTTTGATTTTTGTTTTTCCTATAATTATTTTTTGAAATAAATTTTTGATTGATTTTTAGATTTTTCTATGTTAATATCTTCTCGGTGTAAGCGGATTCTCTCAGAAAAATGAAGTCTACTATCCAATCTGGAGATCGAGAATTGTTTATTCATAATTGTGTTAGTTTTCGTGTATATATTTATATTTTTTCAGTATTTTTTCCAATATTTTTTTCCAGTATTTGTATTATTTTTACATTTCTTTATTTGTCGGTGGATAGATCTTCACTTTATCTATCAGATATAAGAACACCGATTAGATATGAATTTGTTATCAGTATATACTTTTTATTCACTTTTCTTGGATTTCTCTATGTTAATATATTTTCGGCGTAGACAGATTCTCTCAGAAAATGTAGTTTACTATCCAATCTGGAGATCGAGAATTGTTTATTCATGATTGTTTTCGTTTTCAAGTATATATTTATATTTTTCAATATTTTTTCAAGTGTTTGAATTATCTTTACATTTTTTTGTGCTCGGTGGATATATTTTCATTTTATCTTTCAGATCTAAGAACACCGATTACATATGAATTTATATTCAATATATACCTATTTTATTAACACCTTTTTTGGATTTTTCTATTTTAATATGTTATCAGCGTAGACAGATTCGCTCATAAAATAAAGTCTGCTATCTAATCTAGAGAGCCACAATTGTTTATGGGCTGTTCATGCATGCATTAATATTTCAGTTTTTATAAGTATTTATTTCATTTTTTCCCTTTTTGTGTCGGTGGATCAATTCACAGATCTGTATGTTCAAATCATCGATCTGTGTTTTAAAAGTCCATTTACTAAAAGGTTTAAATTTTATTATGTTAACACTGATTTTAGTATCTATATTTTCTTAACTTTCTGTTTACAGCATCCATCACCAAGTTTTTCTCTGTTAATTATACCATGATAGCCCCAATTATATTTTTAATTATACCATGCTAACACTTATTATATTTTTTAAATTATACCATGCTTACCTTTCACTTTTCCATGAATTCGTGTGCCCTGTAGAAAAGAAACATTTTATATCTAAAACAATTGCATTGATTCATGTTAGAAACTGAAAAATTGAATGGTAATAACTTACAAATCTGTCGCAGAAAACAATATCCATGTCGGGACGGAATGTGATAGACACGGACAGTCCATGTCTTCCAATTGTGTCCACATACCCGCTCTTACTTTGTTTCCTGAATTACTCATTCTCTCAATGCTAAATTCTCCAGAGGATGAAACGAAAACGGACTGTGATTCGGATGTTGTGGTGTATATATAACCTTGAAATGATTGGGAAGTTATTAAGGGGAGAGTGGGAAGTTGCTGGAAAATTACTCATTTAAAAAATGCTCCATTTCACAGGTGGGGAAGTTGCTGTAGGCTATTCCTGGAACGTGCCACACCCTCTACGGAATCCTTGGAACGTGGCTGATATAGGAATAACAGGAATAATATTATATTATTAATATATCATTATTATTATAATCTTCATCAATGTAATTGGCAGTGGAGTTTTAATAATATATCAATCTCAGAACATTTATCAGGAAATGTAAAATTTGATTTTTTTTCCAATTTATTTAGTTATGCCAATTTTTGTGATAAAATAAATAATAACTTAAAAAAAAATTTGAAGTGGATTTTTTTTAAAAAATTTTATTCTGAAATTAAATAAATGAAAAAATTGTTTATCTAAGAATTGAGTATGTTTGGACTATTGGAAAGTAAAATATTTTTTTGATAGAATTAGGCCCATTTCCGTGAATTAAATTTTGTTTTATTACTTCTGGCTCATATCCGTGAATAAGCCCATAAACATAGGCGGGAAAAAAATCCTACCGCCTTTGTATAGAGATAGATTTTTATTCTTATTTTTTAATTTGGAATGTTATTTTCTTTTATTTGATATTTTAGTTTTGTTTAAATCGATGGAATTATATCGTGTACGTGCAATAAATACCATAAAATAAATAATGTAATTTAATCTTTTGGGCTTTTAAAACTTTGAACAGCACATCCCTTTAGAATACTTTTTAAACATAAACATGTGTTTAGTTCAAAATATCATTACATTAATATTTTTCAATTATTCATTGTGAACCTTAATTTGTAAGCAATACAACTTTTTACAATAACTCACTAATATTTTTTTATGAAACGACATAACAAATATTTTTCATATTTCTTTTCTAATTTTTTTGACAATTCACTAAAAAAATTGAATTACAGAACTTTTCCAAAACGCCAATGTAATCTTTTCCGATCTGTTTAATTAGATTTTTCGATTCCTTATAAGATAAGAGGAGATGCAAGAATTGGACGCTGTAGAAGGAAAGAGAATTGGAGATGAAAATGTTTTCTTAATTGCTTCTCAGTCATAGAAAAGACACTCCATATTTGGACGTATGGGTTAAAGTACACCATATTTGGTTAGTTTAAAGTCCAATAGGAATTGCTGATTCATCTCTATAGACCATGAGGATTAATAAAGTAGGTGTCAAGTCAAAAAAATGTCCCCTAATCAAGTCACATCTCGAAATTCTATTAGTTCGACTCTCAAATATTATATATAAAGATAAAAATATCAGATATGCATGATTAAACTTATTGAATACGGTGTATATAAATAAAAGGTCTAAGAGTTACCATAAACTATTTACTAAAAATCGTAAATAAATGATTAAAATATGTTTTGGATGTTTTCCTTGTGGCATGTCATTTGAAAGCGCTAGATTGAGACATGTCAAATTCTTAGTCTAAAGTAGTTGCTGATAGACATGGCTGTCGAGTTTGGACCTACTTGGTGTAGTCAATTTTTCCCTGCGAAGTGCATGCAGAGAACCTTCTCATTGTTTGACTTGGAACCAAAATCTGAAAATTCAAACACAAACAAACAATGTGTTTTTCCTGTTCCGTTGGCTATTCTGGAATGACATTCTAGGTTTATTGAAATGCACAAATGGACCAGATTACAGTATTATGAAATTTGCTGAACCAAACTGGTAGTATGACCTGTTTCTCGCTCTGCCGCAGAAGGATATCGTCTCTCCCGAGGCACCAAGTAGCCATTGAAGGAGGTACTGTTTAAGTGTTCATATATATTCCTCATAATAATCCAACTTAGATCTGTCACTCAGCTAATTTTTCTGAATTTGAAACAGAGATTTCCAGTATTCATAACACTAAGCTGTACAGCCACAAAGAACTCAGTATTGCCACTGAAGATTTTAGCCCATCCAACAAAATTGGCGCAGGAGGGTTTGGCACTGTCTACAAGGTACAATTTTTTTTGTTGCTTCCCATAATTTCATGTTCTTAAACTTGTTGATAAATTCTTTAATGTAGTCCACAACAGGTCTTGATTAATCCCCATCTAAGCATGCCTAGATGCTAGAATCTAGTTTACAAAGAGATGGATTAATAAGACTTGCTATGGGCTAAATTAAATTTTGTGCGTGTCTGTGCAAAGCATGGGGTCATGGTAACCCAAAAATATTGAGGTTATCCTAGTTTTATTTGTTATAATTTATAACGAGTTTGAAGGTATATAGTTGATGGTATATGCTCGCTTTGTTTTTCTCTTGTTTGTAGGGGAGGTTGAGTGATGGAACTTTAGCTGCAATTAAGGTTCTTTCGGCCGAGTCAAGACAGGGCGTAAGGGAATTTTTGACAGAGATTGTGGTTATCTCAGGTCTGGAGCATGAAAATCTGGTAAAGCTACATGGTTGTTGTGTAGAAGGGGAACATAGGATATTGGTCTATGGCTATCTTGAAAACAATAGTCTAGCTCAAACTCTCACAGGTTTAGCCATCTCTATATCCCTCTGCTGGAGATTTTAAGTCAATTTTTTTTAAATTACTTATGATTAAATGATCTATTTGCATGTAGGATCTAGATCCAGTGGGATTAAGTTTAGCTGGAGTGAGAGGAGTAGAATATGCATAGGGGTTGCCAGGGGACTTGCATTCCTCCATGAAGAAATCCACCCTCACATTATTCACAGAGACATCAAAGCAAGCAATATCCTTCTCGACAAAGATCTTACCCCAAAGATTTCAGACTTTGGCCTTGCCAAGCTTTTCCCGCACGAGCTTACTCATATCAGTACGCGTGTAGCAGGGACCCCGTAAGTCCTCACACTTTTCCCAAGTTAGTATATGGGAATCCACTTCATTTTTTTGCGAGCAAATTAAGTAGAAGTATAAGCAAAAATGTATAAGGTTGTGTTCCATTTGCCTGATCTGATCTATTGTTTTGAAGATGTGGTCGGATCTCATTTGATTGTAAATATAATTAAACATGTTTCTGATCTGATTTGGTCTTATCTGATTGGATATGATCAGATTTGATTTGATCTGATTTTAATAAGAATAAGTAATAAATTGAAAACATATTGAACGGAATGAACCCTAAGTGGAAGTCCTCTCTTTTTCTTTTTTTTTTGACTCTTGATTTTGTGTGCACAACTGCACAACTACCCCATGGCTGCAGGGGTTATTTGGCTCCAGAGTATGTAATTCGCGGGCAATTGACAAAGAAGGCTGACATCTTTAGTTTTGGGGTTCTCCTCCTGGGAATTGTTAGCGGAAGACCCAATACTGACAAGAGACTACCACTCGATGATCAATATCTTCTAGAACGGGTACGGATTCCTGAATTTGCAAACATAGAGTCCATCCAAAGTGTACATATTAGAAAAGAAAGAATAGTTTAAAGTGTTTGATCACACAAGTATGAATGAATGCAGGCATGGAAAATCTATCAAAGAGATGAGCTGGTTGAGGTGGTTGATCCATTACTAGGATCGAACTTCGATTTAGATGAAGCGTGTAGGTACATAAAGATTGCTTTGCTATGCACGGATTTCATGCCCAATAGCCGACCATCTATGCCAACGGTGGTGAAATTGTTGACAGGGGAGATGGAAGTGGATGGCATGAAAATATCAGAACCGGGTCTGTTGCCTAAACTTTTGGGTCTGAGGAATAGGACGAGAAAAAACCTGGGAACCGTATCTGCTGGGTCAGGGAATGATGAAGGCAAGTCTTCAACACTGACAGACAACACCGTCTGCACTACACTGGCAACAATGACATTCACCTCCATATCTGATAGGAGTACTTGAAGAAGTATAATTGCATGACAATCATAACACTAGAAGTGCTCTATCACTTTTATGGGTATTTTTTGGTTTTATTTGGCAAAGTATTTCTTTGGTTTATTTTAGTATCTTTTTATTACACACAACTGGATTTCATCAGTTTGATTGTAGTAGCTTAGATCTCACAAAACATGAGCAACATAAAACCACTAGTTCTCAATGCTGTACAAAAACCATCCCCTTGGCAAGGTCTAGAGCTTTGCAGCGCCCAAAGAACTTTTCCACAATAGCCAGTGCAAATTCCATTGTAGTCCCTGGCCCTCTGCTTGTGATCAGAGTACCGTCAACTATCACCCTGTTTTCTGCTTTGCTTGGATCTGAGAGCTTATTGCACATTGCTGGAAAAGAGGTAGCTTTTTTGCCCTAAAAACGAAAGCAAAATCTCAGTGGCGAATTCAAAAATGGGTTCTTGCAAAGGTATTGTTAAAATGATGCACAATGAGGGTCCATATCCATTCAAGAAGTCCATGGCAACCAATTTCTAATATGTCATTGATTGATAGCTACTAAGCTCCATTATCTTCTATCGAATAAATGTATACCTTGAGCAAGCCATGTGGTTCAAGGATTAAGGCAGGAGAAGCGCATATGGCTCCATACGGTTTGTTTGATTCTCTTTGGGTTTTCAACATGTTCACCAGTTTCTCTGAGTTTGCAAATGCCTCGGCACCGCCGAGACCACCCTGCATAATGTGGACCAATGAAGGGTTGTCCGCACTCAAGACTCATCAAGAGAATATATTGAGAAAGGCTTTGCACTTACAGGCAAGACAATGAGATCATATGTACTCTTAGCAGCATCCTCAAGCAGTAAATCAGCAACGAGTCTCACTTTCCTAGAAGCAACAATTTCTAGAGTATCTTCAACAGATGCAACTACTACTTGAGCTTTAGCTCGTCGAAGTACATCAACAATTATAAGTGCTTCCATCTCTTCAGATCCATTGGCAATGGGTACCAGTATCTGCAGAAGGCAAATAAAGTCAAATGCAAGAAAGTCTTTCCATTTTCCATGTCTTATTACAAGTAAAATGATATACGGACCTTTTATGTAAAAAGGTATTTGGTAGGGACTTAAGTAAATAAAGCATTAAAATAGTGCAGCATGTGGAAAAATAAAAGTTCCACCATTCACTTGTAACTTACCATAAGATTTTTGTTTACATTAAAAGTTGAATGCATATGCACACATCAAGTCTACGGTCATTCATTTTTTGATGTATGAAGTCATAACAATTGGTTAAAAGAGACTGGAGGGAGTAACTAACATTATTTTGAAACACGGAAAACTAATGCTAAGCATCTCTGCACTAAGTTTCTCACCTGTGGGTTATTGGTCACTGCCCAATTTACTGAATTGAGTTCAGCAAATGTATATTCGTCGCCGTGATTAGAGCGCATTACCTTGAATGATATGCAAAGATTGGATAACCATCATGAATCAGCAGACTAATCCACCATGATCAATGGATAAACATGAAATCTATTTAAAAAGGTACTTCCAAAACAAATAGGTTAAGAAAGGATAATTGAAGTAACCAAGCCAAAAATTAAACAAGTGCAAAGCAGAACCAAAAGTAGCTTGTGTGTAACACAGAAGTATTTTATTTAAAGTAACCCAAATCCCACATACCAGTGGACCTGAAACTTCATTGGCTTTCTCCTTTCCATACAATTTCTCAACCAGTGCAACAGCATACTCCATGACAGTTCCTGGTCCACGACTCGTGATAACATTTCCATCCAACTGCACTCTAGATTCGACAGCATTTGCAGATGATGAAAGTTGTTCCATGAATGATGGGTAACAAGTTGCCTGTCAACAAGAAAGGCGCATAAACAAAAAGAATCCTCGCCAATTTACAATTGATGTCTTATGATCATATTCATGGATTATGGTTTAGGGTTTTATCACATTGCAACAAGTATGATTGAGTTAGATCAAGTGCTAAACCCAAATTGTTTATAACCGTAATATTTCTTTGAAGAAAGAAAAAGACAAAAAAAGAAGTCAAATTGATACTCTGGAAGTCAAATAAAAAGATTCAAGGACCATAAGTTATTACCTTAATCCCCTTCAACAGTCCCCACGATCCAAGTGCAACAGCCGGAGAGGCACATATTGCAGCATATAATCGTTTGCTTTCTGCCTGTTTTTTAAAGATGCTTTCCAAAGTTTTGCAGTCTCTAAGCGCAGCCGCACCAGGCATCCCTCCCTGTAAATCAACGAAACATTCCAGGAGTGGCACCCACTATTCAGTAGAGATCACTACTAACAATGGAACACAAGTATAATATAAAAATAGACACAACACAGTAGGGGCAGTGAAAATCAATCCATCAATAACTGTTGGAGTTCATGATGCGCAGATAGAACAGAGAAGGAGAAGAACAACAACAACAACAACAACCCAGTTAAATCCCACAAGAGTAGGGTCTGGGGAGGGTGTGTGTACGCAGACCTTGCCCCTACTCGAAAGTAGAGAGGCTGTTTCCAAAGAGACCCCCGGCTCAACATCGAAAGTTGCAGTGTTTGACTAACTGCTACTTCATTAATTAAAGAAGCGCAGATAGTTTAGAGATCCATTTTGATTTATTCCATCACACCCCAAAGCCAAAAATGGTGAAATTTTNTAAATCCCACAAGAGTAGGGTCTGGGGAGGGTGTGTGTACGCAGACCTTGCCCCTACTCGAAAGTAGAGAGGCTGTTTCCAAAGAGACCCCCGGCTCAACATCGAAAGTTGCAGTGTTTGACTAACTGCTACTTCATTAATTAAAGAAGCGCAGATAGTTTAGAGATCCATTTTGATTTATTCCATCACACCCCAAAGCCAAAAATGGTGAAATTTTGACTCCATCGGAGATGATGGAAAAGAAATGAAAGGAAAATTCTCTTCATTACTCAAATAGGAAATGGAACAGTACAGGGTATATAAAGGGGGAATAAGCACGTGCTAAACACTGTTAACAACCGTAACAAACATAACAAGAAAAAATATCTAGCTAACCAACTTCCAACTTCTAACAAATACAAAACTAACTCAAAACTAACTCTGTAACTCTGTAATTCCAACACCCCCCCTCAAGTTAGAGGGTGTTTGAACCCCTAACTTGCCAAGAATCTGATGATGCAGAGGACCTGGGAGACTCTTAGTAAACAAATCTGCTAGTTGTTGAGTAGTAGGAACATGAATGAGAGTGATGAGCCCCTCTTGGACCTTTTCTCTAACAAAGTGACAGTCCAACTCTATGTGTTTTGTGCGTTCATGATAAACTGGATTAGTAGCAATATAGATGGCAGCACGGCTGTCACATTTAACTGGAATGGGAACAATGTCTGGGACTTGAAATTCAGCAAAGAGTCTTGACAACCATGCCAATTCAGCTGTGACTCTGCGTATAGATCTGTATTCAGCTTGTGCTGAACTGAGAGATACAGTGGGCTGTTTCTTAGACTTCCAAGAGATGGGACATCCACCCAACAAAATGAAGAACCCACTAACAGACCTTCGAGTGTTTGGACAAGCAGCCCAGTCAGAGTCACAGTAAGCTTCCATTTTGAGATTAGGGGAATTGTTGAAGTACAAACCTTGAGAAGGTTTTGTATTAAGATAACGAAGAGTGTGTTGTGCAGCCTCCCAATGAGGTACCCAAGGATCTTGCATGAATTGGCTGAGAAACTGGACAGCAAAGGCTATATCTGGCCTTGTGTGTGTAAGGAAATTAAGCTTCCCAATTAAGGTTCTGTATAAAGAAGGATCTGGAAGAGGGGAACCAACACCAAGTTGAAGTTGTATATTGGTTTCCAATGGGCATGTGGCATGAGCTGTAGGAGGACAATGAAATTGTTGAAGGAGATCCATTGTGAACTTGTGTTGAGTTAGGATCAGACCTTGACTATTATAGACAGCTTCCAAGCCTAGAAAATAGCCCAGGGGACCCAAATCCTTGATTTTGAAGAGATCATTGAGGTATTGTTTCAAGGCATTAATCTCATGGAGGTTATTTCCAGTGATAAGAATGTCATCTACATAAACGACTAAGTGGACAACTGAATTNCATGTGGCATGAGCTGTAGGAGGACAATGAAATTGTTGAAGGAGATCCATTGTGAACTTGTGTTGAGTTAGGATCAGACCTTGACTATTATAGACAGCTTCCAAGCCTAGAAAATAGCCCAGGGGACCCAAATCCTTGATTTTGAAGAGATCATTGAGGTATTGTTTCAAGGCATTAATCTCATGGAGGTTATTTCCAGTGATAAGAATGTCATCAACATAAACGACCAAGTGGACAACTGAATTGGGTGTAACCTTAGTGAACAAGGAATAGTCATTCTTGGAGGTAACATATCCTTGAGATCTTAGAACTGCACACAGCTTAGCATACCATTGCCTGGAAGCTTGCTTGAGACCATAGAGAGACTTGTGTAACTTAAGAACTTGAGAGGGATTAGACATTTTCATTCCAGGTGGTGGTTTCATATAGATGTCTTCATCCAAATCTCCATGTAGAAACGCGTTGTTGACATCAAGTTGGAAAATAGACTAATGGTTTTTGACTGCAATGGCTATTAAGGCTCTAACAGTGGTCATTTTGACCACTGGGGAGAATGTCTCATGGTAGTCTATCCCTTCCTTTTGAGTGCAACCGCATATGACCAGTCTTGCTTTGTGCCTTTCCAGGGAACCATCAGCTTTAAATTTCAGTTTATATATCCATTTGCTGCTAATGGGTTTCTTTCCTTTAGGCAAATCACAAATCTCCCATGTGCCAGTGTCCTCTAGGGCCTTGAATTCCAGGTCCATGGCTTTCTGCCAGGCTGGATTACTTCTGGCTTCTTCATAGCTCCTTGGTTCCTGCACATATGAAACACTATGCAAAAAATTTTGACTTGCTTGGGTGAGAGCCCCTAAGCATATGTGAGAAGACACAAGAGTGGAAGTAAGGGTATGAGCACAGAAACTAGAAGAGGAACTAAAACAGGAAGATGTATGGCAGACATAATCTTG